TTGTTCATAACCCAACATTTTTCAAATCCAAGTTTGTTCAATGATTTTTGTTGAATTTGCAATTCTTCCTATGCTATCTCACATTAGGCGTTGAATATTATATTCGTCACGCCATCTTTGTTTTTTCTTTGTCGGTTCACTGTGCATTCGTTTCCCTTCCATTTGATGTGCTGCACGTTGAGATTCAATTATCATCAACGAAGATTTGGCTTAGTTCTTTCCTGATATGTTGCGTCATCTTTGATTTTTCTTCGTTGATGAATTCTGCATTTCTTATCCTTCCATTTGACGTGCTGTACGCGACGATCCGATCATCATTAGCGAATATACAACTTAGAGCCCTTCTGACAGTTGCGCTATAATTTTTTGTAATAACTCATTAATTTCCACGAATCATCATACACGCCATCACCTCTCACGCTGACTACGTCATTTTCAAAGTTTTAATGTTTTATCACTATTATTATTATTATTCGACCCTCAGTATTCAGTTCAATTTTCTCTATCACAATAAATCTAGCGATATTTGATTCCTTCATTCTGATTGGCTGACCGACACCACTCTGTAACAGAAGTTAGGCTGAGGAGTCTGAAAATTCGCGAAACGAACCTTCATACGACGTAGCATGGACTTTAGTCATCTTCTGATGATGCTTACTTGGTTAGCGAAATGCGTTGAGTGATAAATGACTGTCATATTGAAACACTAACAATGGTTACGACAATAACGATGAAACCATAACGAATAAACGCACGCAAATGATCGAAAACGCACGGAAAACAGTCGAAAACTCACGCAAACAGTCGAAAACGCACGCAAACGATCGATAACGCCCGGAAAACGGTCGAAAATGCACGCAAAAAGGTCGCACGCAAAAAGGTCGCACGCAAAACGGTCGAAATGTTTGTAAAACGGTCGCTTTTCCCATTTTCGAATGTTAACTCCACAATACATAACTCCTCGACAACTTTGGTGCCATCTACTCCTTCTCCTGATGATGCTAACTTGGTTGACAAAGATACGAAACTTCCGACTTGTTGGAACGCTAGACTTCGGTTGAACCGGCATGTTTCTTCCTTAAATGATGTATTTTGAAACGCCATGTATACATATTGATATCATATTTTAAACCGATATATTTTTTTCTTTAATGATGTATTTTGACGCACCCTATACACTTCGATGCCATGTTTGTTTTCAATGATATATTTAGAGATACCTTGTACACATTGAGGGATCGCACTTTGAAACGATACAGCCTCGGTGATCTGTAATATTTTTTTTTATTGATGGATTTTGAGACACCCCGTACACTTCGACGCCATGTTTGTTTTTAATGATGTATTTTGAGACATCCCGTACACAGTCGTATTCCCAACCCCTCATTTTCAAACCGGCAACCCTACATTGCCCCATAAACAATGATTTATTGTACAACCGGCAACGCCAAACCTGCCATGCTGGCCTTGGCAGCGTATAACCTCGATACCATCTCCATCTCTCTTTGCCTTGATTACGTCACACGCGTCTCTCGCTCATACACATCTTTACATAAGATATTAATTCTTTCCCAAATATAAGTATCCGGCAACGCTACATTGCCCCATAGACAACGATTCATTTGTACAACCGGCAACACCTGCTCGCGCTAGCAACCGGTAAAACCTCGATACCATCTCCATCTCTCTTTGCATCGATTACGTCACACGCGTCTCTCGCTCTTACATACACATACACATCTTTACAAGAAATATTAATTATTTCCCAAATCTACGTATATTTTCCTATCTTCAACATGATAATGATGATTATATTCTACGGAAATAAAAAAAAATGCGGTCAAGTATATAAAATGAGTCAATTTCGGTTCCGACATAACTTACGCTGTAAATATCCATCATTCGCAGTTACTTTCAATATCTTACGTTTCCACACACTTATAAATAATTTGGATAAGTTGTGGTAAGTTGTAAACCCTTCCCGTGAAAGGAAAAATTTATTTATTTTCTGAAAGTGCTGAAAAGAACTTTCCGAACAACTTCTTGACTAAGTCAAAAATTCACTGAATTTTCGAAAGTTTTTTCAACACACTCTCCGATAGAAAGTGTGAGTTAAATAGAAGGCAACACAATTCCCGCGAGTGTTGGTATATCTCACTTTAGGGAGTGTCTACGAAACAGGGAAAAACTATTCCGGGGCCGGACCCCGGAATCTCACCAAAAAAGGATCCCATAAAAAATCCTGTGAATGTAAAAAAGGCTAGGAACAAAACTAAGTGTTCCACTAGACCCCAGACACCAGGACAAAAACTAACTTACCTTAAAAGCCATGATGGTGACAGAGAGAGTCTACTAAGTGACACCTCTTCACTAGGCGGGCATAGCAGCAGTAAAGAGAAAAAGATATCTCCAAAAATCCAGGAAATATCTAAAGTTTTTACCAAACCCAAAACGCACAAGGAAATACTTGGGAATATAACTTTTGCGACACAGAAAATGAAAACACTAAACTCTGAACAGGTACAAGCAGATCTTACTTCGAAGCAACCTGACCCCAATTTTGGGTCGCAATACGAAACAGACAAGGGTGGTTTAGAATCACGGGGTGATACCAAAAACTACATAAACCAGGAAATACAAATAAATGTAACAAATGAACCAGGAGACAGCGAAAAGATGGATGTTAACGACCTGGAGAATAGCGACATTGATCTCGTAGAGGGCGTGAAGAAGCCACACAGTGGGGCCGGATCGCAGCTCTGCGAGAGGGATGAAGCGGCCACAGGACGCGTTGAGGATAACTCGAAAACTACAAAAATACCACACCCTATAGAAGTTGAAGTACTGGTTAATCCCGAAACACTACTCCCAGAAATTGGGACCGACACTTCTTGTAGCTTACAAGAAATGGAAATAGAAAATGTCATACCTATAGAAACAAATAACATCCCCAAAACGCCGCATGTATCCTTGGAGGAGACACTACGCTTCCAACGAAACATATTCCCGAGAAGATGGACAATATTCCTATTGGCCAGGGAAGTGCAAATCAGACTCATTTGCCAAAAAGGCAACTCAGCCCAGCTAGGTTTAGAGTAGGAGAAAATGAAGGCTTACACATTGAGGAGTTAGCTAAACTTGTAAAGAATATGAAAACTACAGCAATCAACGCTAATAATAAACCTCAAGATACTGAAAAAGCAATCAGGGAAAAAGCTAAGTTTCTCCCAAAGAGAAGCGAAATCAAACCAATCAATATACCTTCAAGCGATGAAGAAGAAAATAAAACTCCAAGAAAGAGGAAAAGAAGAAGGGCAAGGAGACTTCCCAACTCACCACCTACCCCACCTATCACTAGAACAATGATGAATGCAGAAGAAAATCCTTACAAAAAGTACAACGAGATTCAGGAGAAAATCAATGCAATTAAAAGGAACACTCTTGATAAAATTAACAGCATGGTAAACACCTATTGCAATGCGAAAATAGAATATGATCCTGTACTCAAAAATTTTCCACTAACATTGATGAGGGAAAGCCAAATGGAGGCGGTGAGGAACTATTACAGGGACCGGTACCTACCAGAATCCAAGAAGGGAATCTCGAAGCTGGAGGAACTAGCTGCCTTAATGAAATCGCCCGAGAAGAAGGAAAACTTTCCCCCCCTTCGTATTCCTACCCCTAACACCACCACAAACAGAGATGAATTTGTGATCCCCAGGAGAGTCGCAAGGAAAACGTCTACTACAATCCAACAAGACAACATCAAAATCCAAAACAGGTATGAGTCCCTGAGCGACACGGGTGTAGACACGGATCCCCCGGCGTCCTCTGAGGACAGAACTAGGGGGCCGACTAAATCGAAAACGAGGACTCTTCCTCCAATTGTTGTTCAAGGTACGATACCTTTGAACAAAAATATAATGCATAACTTGAAGAAACAAATGGAGGACGAGATCTCGGTAAAATACACTGGGAGATCCACGCTTGTATACGCGCGTACGCGCAAAGATCATTACTCAATTGTTAACACGATTCGAGGTGCACAGGCGGAATTCCACACCTACACACTACCGGAGGACAAAACTCATGCGTTTGTCCTCCGGGGGTTGGACTACGCTCCATCGGTAGAGGAAATTGAGGATGACCTACGAAACGAATGCAAAATCAACGTTTCGACCGTATATAAACTGAGGACGGATAGACGTCCCCTATATATGGTCGTAACTGACAAGGACGTCACCCTCAATTTTCTGAAACGTAACGTCCAATGTGTCCTTCACACTAAGGTCATATGGGAGTTACGAAATACCAACAGGAGGATTGTACAATGTCATAGGTGCCAGCTTTGGGGACATGCTACGAAAAACTGCTTCAGGGCCCCGAGGTGTCTAAAGTGTGCTGAAGGGCACCAAACATACGAGTGCCAGAAGCCCAGGACGGAGCTGGCGAAGTGTGCCAACTGCGATGGAGACCACCCCGGCAATTCCAGGAACTGTTCAGTCTACCTGGAGAAGGCGGAGGAGGTCGAAGCCAGACAAAGAGACAGGCAACCACCATCCCAAAAGCAGGTTCAGGCACCAATCCCCAAACTGGTCCCTGCGCCACCTCCTAAAGCGAACCCATGGACGAAGAGAGCCGGGATGCAGCAAGCCCCTGGGTCACCACCTCTTCCTCAGACACCACCGGTGCAAAGAAAGCGGGCATTTAGACCCACGATATTGGACCAACAGAACATCATGGAGGCAACCAACTGCTTCCAGAGGCTAAGCGAGATGGTGAACCTCGCAGAGATCATTCGTGCAACGAATGATCTCTGCAACCTCATGGCAGGAGCTACTAGCCCACTGGAAAAGTGGAACGCCTTTGCGACGTTCGCGGGCAATATAAGCAAATACAACTTCTAAATGCCTATAAAGGCATGCATGCTGAATGTGAATGGAATTTACAACAAATACCCCAGTGTTGTGAACTTCATTCATTCACATGACGTCGACATAATGCTTCTATCCAAAACCAAGCTGCGACAGGAACACAAACTGAAACTACGAAATTTTATCACTGTCCGGAAAGACCGCCCTGATGCTCTAAGAAGTAGTGGGGTGGCTATCTTGATAAGAAAAGGTATCGCACATACGCAGATACCCCAGCAGCGAAGCAGCCTTGAACATGTTGATGTCCAGCTTGCAGACGGTACCTGCGTGTTTGCGGTATACAATAAGCCGGATGGACGTTTCACTTCGCATGATTTGGACAATCTGTGTAATGTTGGGAACAAGGTGCTGGTTGTGGGAGACCTCAACGCCAGAAGGCGTGAGTGGAACTGTCACAATCGACCTAACACCGATGGCAAGACGCTGCTAGAGTATTCTCTGAACAATAACATTGTCATTGAATACCCTGAGGAGCCGACACACTATCCTTGGAATGGTACGTCACCCTCCAGGATTGACCTAGTACTTAACAAGAATGTTCGAGATCTGGGCGAGCTGGTTACCGTGGACGAGCTGAGCTCCGACCACTGTCCGGTGCTCTTCTCTCTCAACAGAGACAGACCAACAACAAAAAGGGTCAAATATGACTACAAGAGCACGGACTGGTCTGAGTACAAGGCGTCCATGAACAATCTCACCGTTATCAAAAGTAACATTGATAAGGATGATATTAATGAAATTTGTGAGCAGTTCGTTCAAAATATTCGAAGATCTAGATACGTGTCTACGAGGAAGGTCGTGGTGGAAGGTGATCGAGATATTCTTCCGATTGATATTGTTGAACTCATTAGGCAAAAACATCGGATACGCAAGGACTGGCAGAGAACGCGTGACCCCCGTAGCAAGGATCAAATGCTGCAAATGCTGCAGAGGCTGACGAGCGCATAAGATAGTTCACCAACAGGAAGTGGAGGGAAAAACTCTTAAGCCTTAACGTCCACGATCACTCTTTGTGGAGAATGGCCAAAAAACTGAATAACCGGTTTGAGGCCATCCCGACTATAGACAACGGTGTTTTACTTGTAGGTTATTTCACTATCATTTCATTTCAGGTTTATTGTTGCTTAATATAATTGTTATTTTCACCTATTCTTTTTTAATTATTCTTTTTTACTTGTTTCAGGGATTTCAAATCATTTTATATAGTAGACAATGGAAGTCCGAACTAGTGAAATTCATCACGAAACATTGTCAATCACCTTCAAACAAACATTAAGAGTTTACTTGAGATATTCCCTCTACTTCAACATGGTAACAGAGCGCGGTTGGTTAGCCTGAGGTTCCGGAGTATAAGAAATATTTACAAATCATAAGAAACTGCTGAAATTTTTTTGCTGAAAATTTTTGACATTGACAAGTGCTCTGAAGCTATCATTTTCATTCAGTTGAATTCAAGCTCTACCAAAAGCAAAATGGATGCAATGAAAATACAAATAGGATTACTTGAGGGCAAGTCAAACTGGTCATCATGGAAATACAAGAGCAGCTTACTATTACGACGTATTCAAGGCGGTATTGAGATAGTTGAAGGAAAATTAACTTTACCCGAACCTTTACCAGAAAACGCAACCCAAACTCAGACTCAGAACAAAGTATGACAAGGAGTTGAAAGATTTCAATCAAGCAGACAATAATGCTTTACTGGTTCTTACAGTAAATATGACTCAAGAAACTCTTGCAGAAGTGATGAAGTACACTACTGCTCGTGAAGTGTGGCAAGAATTACACAGGCTGTATGATGGTTATGTTGACGACAAAACATATGACACATGCATGCAATTCTTCAGCTACACACGTCACGCAGTAGATGACATTCCATCTCATATTTCTAAACTCAAAAATCTTTGGAATATTCTGCAAAATGAAATCACCAAGGATAAAGTAGTAAATGGTAATACCTGTAAATGCGATCTACCAGAATTGTTGGTGATTTGCAAGATTTTGGAGACTCTTTCTCCACAGTATTTTTCGTTCAAGTCAAGTTGGATGCTAATGTCGAAGAACGATAGAACAATTGACAGTTTAACTAATCAACTTTGTGCATACGAAAAAGCTTTATCATCCCAATCCTTGATCAAAGAAGAAGTGATGTTCTTGGAAAATAAAGAAAAATTCAAAGGAAATCACAATATGAACCTGTTTTGTAAATATTGTTAATGAAAAGGGCATAAAATAAAACACTGTTTCAAATGGAAAGCAGATGGAAAACCTTCAAAACCAGGAAATGGAAAACCTCCAGAACCAGGAAATGAAAAACATAAAACTAGTGATACCAATGTGACTCTCGTAGCAGAAACAAACTCCGTGTTGTATTCTACGTGTGATAAAGACATTTGGTATGTTGATAATGGTGCTACGAATCACATCACCAATCAAAGTGATATGTTTCAAGAATACACATCTTTTGATGGAAATCACAGGGTCACAATAGCTAATGGAGATTCAATCCCAGCTCTAGGTCAAGGTACTCTGAGAGTGAAAGCTTGTGTGAACGGAAGAATGCAGATTTTCTCCATGACAAACGTACGGTATGTTCCAGAAATAAACAAAAATCTTTTCTCTGTTTTATCCGTGCAAGATAAAAACACGGATAGCCTATTTATTTCGAGTGCTGAAAAATGTCAATGATGTATGTGGACCTTTTTGTCCATCCAAGTCAGGTTACCGGTATTATGTCCAGTTCAAAGATGATTTCAGTAGGTTCCGTTATGTCTTCTTCATCGAAGAAAAATCTGAAATTGTAGAAAAGCTGAAGATTTTACTCGCAGAGATTAAAGCTATAGGCTACAACGTTCAAGAATTCTTGTCAGATGGAGGTGGAGTATTCTCAAATAGAGAAATAACCAAATTTCTCAATGAATATGGAATATGACAAAGAATCATCATGCCTGACCCTCCTCAGCAGAATGGTTGCTCAGAGCGTGATAATCGAACAGTAGTTGAAACTGCCCGAGATTTGATGCATGCTACAGAAGGACGAATAAGTCAAAGCTTGTGGGCTGAAATGATCAATACAGCTGTTTATATTTCAAACAGATCCGGTACATCTGGTATTGAAGACAAATCTCCCTTCGAAATATGGTTTAAAAAGAAGCCCAATTTGAGGCATTTCAGAGTAATAGGCAGTTATTGCTATGCACACATACCAAAAAGATGTCGAAAGAAAATGGATAGAAAGGCTATAAAAAGAGTACTCATTGGATATGATAATGATGATGGATATCGTATCTGGTGTGAAGAAAGTAAGAGGCTAATACGATCTCGTGATGTAATTTTTCACGAAGATAAACCATTAAATTTTGTAATGGCAAGAGTACCTTCTACTGATAAAAATGAGACGTAAGAAGAAGACATACCAGTAGACACAGATGCTAAAAATACACCGGATATCTCCGGCTCTCAAACTGAAGAGATAGAAGATCCATTTCTAGAAGATGAGGACATTGTAATAAAAAGGCAGCTGAGAGACATGAAATCAGAAAGCTACTCCGTTTCGATGAATATGCCATGATTGTTGCATGTGAAATAACCGAACCTAAAGAGCCACTCACTTACGAAGATTCCATCTCCTGCCCTGAGAAAGATCATTGGATTCGAGCAATGGAAAATGAAATTGAATCCCTAAATGAAAATCGAACTTGGATTATGGAAGAACTGCCACCTAGTAGGAAAGCAATTCCATGTAAATGGGTTTACAAAAGGAAGCTGAATGTAGACGGTTCTGTAGATAAATTCAAGCCCAGATTGGTTATTGAAGGTTATTTACAAAGGAAAAGTGAAAACTACGATGAAACCTTCAGCCCTCTAGCAAAAGGTAGTACGATAAGAGCTGTTATGAGTATTGCTGCTAGTAGAAAAATGACTCTCACCCAGTTTGATATTACTTCTGCATTTCTCTATGGCGAGCTTGACGAAGAAGTTTATATGAAGCAACCTGAAGGATATTAGAATGGTACTAATCGAGTATGTCGACTTCAGAAAAGTTTATATGGGCTCAAGCAAGCACCAAGATGTTGGAATAAGCGATTCCATGATATTGTGAAGAAACTTGATTTCGAACAAAGTCATGCAGATCCATGTTTATACATAAAGAAACATGGAAATGATATGATAATCTTGGTCATATACGTTAATGATACACTGAAGAATAATTTCTTGCAAAGTTTGCAGAATGATTTCAAAATGACAGTGAAACCTGCTTCCTATATCCTAGGATTAGAAATCAAAACTAGAAAAGATGGTTCCATTCAATTAAATCAAGCAGCTTATACGAGAAAAGTATTAGAACGCTTTGGCATGCAAGATTGTAAACCCGTTTCAACGCCGATTGTTAAAGATTGTATTCAATCAGAGAACGAATCCGAAATGGATTTGAATACAACTTTTCGATACAGAGAGGCGGTTGGGGCTCTTATGTATCTAATGAGAGGTACAAGACCAGACATTGCTTATGCAATCAGTGTTGTTTCCAGGTCGTTAGAAGATCCAGCAATCTTAATTGTATCCAAGTAAAACGAATACTTCGATTCCTCAAAGGAATAACAGATTACGGTATAACGTACAAAACAACCAGTATGGATGGCCTGAGAAGTTTTAGTGATGCTGACCATGGCGGAGATGAAACAACAGGACGTTCAACAACAGGTGTTATTTGTATGTATGCTGGCGGTGCGATATCTTGGCTCAGTTAACGACAAATTTCAGTAGCTATTTCCTCAACAGAAGCTGAGATAGTAGCTGCAAGTGAAGCTTCCCGTGAACTGGTTTGGTTGGAACAGCTATATGAAGAATTTTTGGATATGGAATGTAATCCAGTATTGATGATCGATAACGAAGCTGCAATACGCTTGGCCCAAAATCCGGAATATCACAGACGTACCAAACATATTCATATTAGACATTTATTTGTAAGGGAACTGGTCTTAAATGGTGCTATTTCAATTCAAAAAATAGCATCAGAACACCAAATAGCAGATGCACTTACCAAACCGCTGTTCAAGCCAAGATTGAATATTTTACGACAAACAATGGAATTGAACAAATTATTCGATGAGAAAGGGTGTTGAAAAACCACCATTTTCATAATTTGTTGATTTGTTTTCGTGCACATTTTATATGTTTTTAGGTAGTTAAGAGATTAATTTTGACATAATAAAAGTGTGAGTTGAGTTGTCTAAAATTAATACATTCATTCAAGAGTTTACTTGAGATATTCCCTCTACTTCAACATCCCACACTCCCGTTTGAGCCAGAAGTCTCTTTGTTCGTCTACTGATTTGAATTTTCCGCTGTATGCGTGGTAGCTGATTGGTTGACTGAATAACGGTAAAAGTGGTAGTCTGAAAGTGGAGATAGTCTGAATGCGATTTGAAGGCTAAGGCTCAGTTTACACATAATGGACGTCTGGCAGATACAGGGCGCTTACCTGTACCCCTTCCGTGTGAAGTGGGCCTGAGGTCCAAAAAACGCCAGAATGAACCTGCTCAAATTTACATGTGTTTTTCCCATAAGGGGTGTCATAGAACTCCTATAGCTTAATTACTGAGTTTGAATAACTTTAAGTAAGTGAGTGAAATTCATTGAAGAGCCCATATCATACCATTCATTTGGAATATTTCATTTTTGGGTTTATTTTTTGATTTGAGAAACCTATATCGCGCTCATTTCTTGATGTAATACATTTTCACTTTTTTAATGAAATGATATATTTATTATATTTCAATTAGTGCTGATGAATTCACAGAATTGTTATTTCAGTATACATTTTTTTGAGAGTAGGAACATCCAA